TCATGCAGGTGCTTAATACACGAGACCACTTCTAAATACTACAGCTCCACGCCAGCACGGGCTCGCCCTCGCCCGCGCCGCCCCCTGCCACAGCCAAGGCACTTGCTAAGAACTCGCTCGGGCCATTCATGCGGGCGGTTAATGCGCGAGAGCACTTCTAAATACTACAGCTCCACGCCAGCACGGGCTCGCCCTCGCCCACGCCGCCCCCTGCCACAGCCAAGGCACTTGCTCGGACATCGCTCGGGCCATTGATGCAGGTGCTTAATACACGAGACAACTTCTAAATACTACAGCTCCACGCCAGCACGGGCTCGCCCTCACCCACGCCTCCCCCTGCCACAGCCAAGGCACTTGCTAAGAACTCGCTCGGGACCTTTACAAAGGTAGTTGCTCTGCTACTTCAGCTATAGTATGTCGATTGTTCTTCATTAAACTGGAGATTCATTTCATGCCAAAAAACAGTTAAAAACTGTGTGTGCTCTACTATGAGGAGAAAAATATTCTGTGCTCGTTTTCTTAATTCTGCGATCCCAACCCCATACAAATTGAATTTTCATTACAGAAGGAAATGAGCGTTTTGGCGAGAATTGATAAGAAAATGTTCACTCCTGTGTAATAAAAACTATTTGCGAAGGCAAATTAGTAAAGATTTGAGTTATTATCCCTCATCGTGCCCTACGAGAAGAAATAGACGTCTTAACCGCAAGAACATGGAGAATGATAATTTGAACAACTATTTATTTCACTGCACTCTAGATGACGTGCACAGATAGTAAAATTAAATTTTGAAATACGATTGAAATGCAACAAAATGTGTTTGTTTATATTATCTAGTGTTTTTAAAAGCCACTTTATAAGTATCCTCCTTGTAAGTCGATTTTTTTAAAGCGTTACAAACTTTTCACCATACTACGTACACGAGAACCTAGAAATTAAGCTGGAAGTCCAATTTCCATATTCTAACAACCTCCTTTAAGAGCCCACCTGTATGAACGGCCATTTTTCACAGGTACCATGGGTTATTACTTAAGACAGGTTTGACTTTCTGAAGCACATCCAAACGATAATCAGTTTTCATAATGCCCTAGTTTTCTAGCACGTCATAACATGATGGATATTCTCAATGAAGAACGTCCGTCGGCGAAAATGCCCTAGCATATCATGTCACACGTTCAGCACGAAGGCGTGCGTTGTCGTGCAACTCTTTTTTGATAAGCCAGACCACTTACTCTTCACGGCCTATTTGATTTTGTTAAGGTAGTCTGATATGTGTTTGTGTTGATAGTTCCACCTGCGCCCCGCAAATACACAACCTCAGTGAACATTAACAACACAAGCGAATGCGCATTTTCAATCAAATTTTTCTACGACGATCAATTTTAGGGGCATTGAACCTTTTGCTTCCCGAAGTTAAGTTTCTGCTCGCTAGGCTCGCGTGGACAAATCTATGTTGTAAAGATATTCAGTTGATCGTACTTCTAAGCATGAAAACAACACATTGTGCCCATACCACTCCGCTTTCTTACATACCACGCCTCCTACTAGAGAAAACACTATTTTCTGCGTTGCTACCTTGTGACATACGTCTTTGTTTCACTTGGGGAACCCTTATACGACAGGTAGTCACAAAAAAGAGTCTCGTATAAAAAGGCCTCTTCCTCTACCGCTCTCCAATCGCATTACTATCATGCTTAATAAAAGCGTCATTTTCTCCTTTTTCCAATTCGGTTTTTCGAAAATATCAAATCTCAAGGCCCTAATTTTGAGGGCATGAATTTGATCTATTAAACTTCTAAAAATGCCCAATACTGGCACAACAAAACTACCTGAAAATTACGAAGTAATTAACTAATTTTCAACAACACGCCTTGCTGAAAAAACTGAGCATCCATACCTTCAAATGTTAACATGGGAGCGAACAAACTCTACTTTCGAAAGCCGTTACTGCGTACCCAAAAAACGTTTTTTTGAACATGTCGTGTGCGAAGCACGTTTTCTCGAGTTAATGTTCAATGTGCAAAACATAATTTTTTCTTCTCACTAATATGTGAGAAACATTACGAATCGTGCGTGAAATACCGGAGAGTGTGTGCGAAACATCTTTCGGACACAGCGCGTTAAAAAGCACAATTCGCAACGCATTCGCAACGTGATTCGCGCACTCCTGTTTTGTCGCCCGAGTATATGCTCTTTATTACTACAGTGTTTTATATTATACTATACTTACCATGCACATGTTCGGGCGACAAACTCGAGTTGCGCTCAGATCAGCTGTTTCACGCACTTGTTTCATAACTTACTGTTGCTCGTGAGCATCTCTGTGTTACTATTTTTCTCAGGAGAGCATCTATAAAGCAGGGAACTTGCAAGAATCCTAAAAAGCCGAAACTCTTATAAGTTCTTAATGAAACTTTCTCCGAACAAAGAAAATCACCCCTATAATTATTATTTAACCCAAGACGCTTCATCATGACTACGAGCGTATCATTGTAATAAATCACAACAAATAACAACGGTTCTATATCGATCTCGAATCATTATGATGTTCTGATAGTATTAATTATTTCTGTTTTGCCTTGTTATGAAACTGTTAATTATCATAACTTTGCGAAAATTGCAATTAAAACTTTGCATGTAGCTCAAAATTGGCTCCACCCGACAAATCAGGTTCTGACGAGCATCACGGTTGATACATTGCTTGCAAAACAATTCCTGGCCCAGAGATAAAACCTTCAAGTCAATCAGTATGAACCAAATTAGAAAGATATAAGAAAAATAATTACTCTAATTATAATTTTGAAGCTAATTTAATTCCATATTAAATAAACAGGTTTTCAAGGTTTCCGGGCACGTCAACTACAACAGTCGAGGGGGTGGCGGTTTTCCTTTCCAGGTGGAACGTGAAATCCGGCACTTGCCTACACGTCGGGTTTCCCTCTCCAGGCATTTCCCCAGCCGTGACATGTTCTAAGCTACAGACTGGTCTTCCAAGACATGTGGTGGCGTAGTGCAGCGCAGCTAAAATGCAAGACTTAAGGCCACTCAGTACCACGACAATGCGCGCGTGACACGCCTTTCATTAGATTACATCGTCCGCGCCCGAAACTGCGCACTTGCTTTGTTTCACCCACCAACGGGCGGCGGGAAGTCGCTTCAACGGATTCATCATCTTATCTTGACTCTCGTTCACCGCCAGCTTCAGTTATTGTGAAAAGCAAGTATCCTGCTGGGCTTTCATAAAACATTTTGAAGGAATTGCTTTAAAATTAATCATTCGAGTACCATGGAGATTCAACGCAGGTTTAGCTGGGAGGGGTTGGAATTGTAATTCGAATTTGTACAGTTCAGTGGCGAGAATGAGACCAAGCAATTCCAACGCCGCTGTCGAATACTGTTAAAAGTTAAAATTTAATTACGATCTAGCCACGCTAAAACACAGAGTTACGAATTGCCTAAACGTCACTCCAAGTCCGTGTATTACTATCTAGCGCTGTATTCCATTTATTTTCTACAATAAAACCGTAATTTTGCTCCTACAATCAATGTGGACGCAGTCTCAACAACGTAAATAGATCCATTCTGGAACTTATAAAAGAATTATTCTTCTATCATGGATAGACGGCAACAAAAAATCTGACAAAGACAGCTTGTTTGCACAGAAAAGCTTCTTCTAACAAACTCCAACCTGCGAAAATGTAACTTTCGACACGAGAAAAACATCTCCGCGGGAACATTTTAGCGCTCGTTGGCTCCTGGGAATTGATTTCCTGTACGCCAGGCATCAGCCACACAGATAACTTTTACTCCCTCAGAGAACGACCCACCCCTGCCGTGTTCCTCATGAGCCGTGTGATCGATTGGCAGAAAATATCCTGTAAAAAAGAGACAGGTGTGAATCATCCCTATCTCTAAACCAAGAAAAATCTGTTTACCTCCTGGTGGAGGGTTCATGAATGACGTTAAAGTGGGTGGTATCATAAACTTTCACAGCTCTTATCTACTCTAGTTTTCTCTGACATATTATTCAATTACAAATTTATGCAAGGAGTCCTCCCAAAAATGTTTAAGTGTAACGATTCATTCCTTGAATAAGGTTTTCTTCTCATTTGCGTTTGGTAACTCTGTTTCGAGAAGTGTAATACATTAAACATATTTATGTAAATGCGTAAAAAATGAAGCAATAAAACACGACAAAAGCTTGAGAAATTATTTTTTATGACATATCAGTTCTAAAGATTGATTGGAGTATAAGAGTGGAAAAAAATGATATTTTACAAGAGAAATAATATACGAGGTTTTATCAACAAACGTTACAAAGAGACAGGGCGTATAGAATTGGTTTAATAAATTTTTAGAATTGAGAGAATTTAAGGCACTTGGACATATTAATGCAATAATTTTTTACTTTGCATTTTTCACTTCACGGGGTGTTCTGTATTACAACAGTGAATATGTAGAAGTTTTCTAATTATTTTACATATACCCTCCACAAATATCTAATTTTCGGCGTGCATCCCTTTTGCTCAAAATTTGAAGATGCATTCCAATTTTTCTATTTCTCAATCATTTAGGTTCTTGTAACTTAGATATTTTCTGTACAATTTAATTCAATTGTAGATCTTTAAATTAGGATACATAGCATTTTTTCAGAACAAAAGTAGTCTGAGTAATTGTTGATTAATAGCATTCAGAGGAGGAAATGTTTCAGTATGCCGCGCATTCCTACTGCTTTCTTATAAGAAGATGGTATTGCAAAAAGCAATAGCGATACCATTCAATGTTGCCTTATTTTACGTAGCGAGACTAATATTAATCAGGCATGCTGTTCCGCCTAACCACGCATATTTCGTTAGGCTCCTGTCACCATTGACCGAAGAAAGAAGGTATCACTTGGGCGACGAACCAGGAGATTTGAATTTAGGTCAGAGCTTAGGCTTGAGAATCATTTACTGCACGTAGATCTACAACATGGGACAGCCGGCTTTACTTTCCCTCTGAAGAAAGGTGTATTATGTTTTTGTCCTTAGAAATCGACGGCTTCGATCGGGATTGAACCCGCAAACTTGACAATAACAGCCCGATAAGCTAACCGGTATACCATCAAAGCCACTGAAGGCTGATATCACCAATACACAACTTTTTTTATTTCCTGTGCATCGGAGCGATGCCTCTTACCTGCGTCGAGGTCGTTGGGGTCGTCTGTGTTGGGGGCGGCCTTGGGCGCGGGGGCGGGGGCGAGCGGGCGCTGGAGCTCGCGCACCGAGAGCGTGACGCAGGCGCCGTCGTGCACGAAGCGGCGCACGTGGTGCGGCAGCGGCGCCTCACACGCCTCCTTCGGGCAGCGGAAGTCGCGCGCGCGGAAGCAGTGCCGCTCCAGGAAGCGCTCCAGCGACACGTCCGACATCGCGTCGTACAGGTCCATGTGCACCACCCTGCGCACCGCAACATCAACATCGCTGCACACACGTTGTTAGTCACATTCATCACATTAGTGTTCATCGGGTAAGGTCATTAGCACCGTAAGTGTAGTGTATGCTTTTGGCTCGGGAGGTCGCGGCAAGTGGGGGTTTTCCGAGACGTGGTATATCCCGCCAGCGGGGTACTGCCACAGGCGGGACAAGCTCTCAGCTCCCGACCGGTCTTCCAGCATGTGTGATAGTGTAGTGCACGTAAGTGTGTGTGTGTGTGTGTGTGTGCGCGTGCGTGCGTGCGTGCGTGCGTGCGTGCGCGCGCGCGTGCGTGCGATGTGTGTGTATGTGAGTAAGTAAGAGGTAGGTAAGGGAAGGAAATATCTTATGCGGTCCGTGGCCCGTTCGGGTACTACTCAGGCATTCGCCTGTTGTTGATCAGAGGGCAGCCGCTAGAGATCTCCAGAGAGCGACATACGTACCACCCGTACCATCTAGCTAGTGTTGAAATTACTGCCACCTTCGGGATTCGAACCTATGATCTTCCGGATATCACTGCAGTGTCATCAGTAAATTCCCTGAGCGACCTTTGGCCGTTTTTATACCTGGGGGCCTACAATTTTTTTAAAAAATTATTTTGCCATCTTCAGACCCGTCCTGAAGACGAAGACGGCCTGAAATGCGTTCGCACACTGCCGGCATAGCAAGGATGCGCTGGTGCCGATCTAGTATGACGCCACTCGCGCGGAAGAGCGAATAAATGAAAAAAAACAAAAGGAAATTTTAAAAAATCATTTGAATTTACTAAGGCGTTGACACATGACTTTCACACTCAAAGAAAACGCCATTGATTACCATCTCTAATAAATTGAATAAAGAACGATGGAAGTGTGAACCAAAGCTAACAATCTCGAGTAAATTACGTTTACATGAGCCGCAAGGATTCCAGTCTAATCACAACTATTCTAAAGTTAATATAAGTTACGGTCTTTATGACCTTCCGTTCTGACTACCCTAATAAATCATTATTTCTCTTTGTATTAAAGATCTTTGAACTTCTTTTGCAGGATTGTTACACAATGCCATTGTTCTGTAACTCATTGATATGACGCGGACGCCCTATAACCTCAAAGCGAAGAAGTAATAATAATGAAGAATGGTGTGTGAATTGGCTAAAAAAGTGCTAGGTAAAATAAAATAAAAAGGAAACGACCTCCGTAAAACACGCTTCTAATCACTTTGTTCCATTATTTCTCACGATCGAACGATGCGCTAGTCTTCACTAAGAAACGCTCGTTAATTTTAAATTATTTTTCAAAGGACTTACATTTTATATTTTATGTATTTGTAATAACGCAGAGACTCCAACTTTTGGCTTAATGTCGAATATAAAATACCTAATATTAGACAGGCCATTTTTCTCATTTTCGCTTACCGCAATAAATTGTACATTTGTACATGCATTCAGAAATTTATGCAAAGCACTGCTACTAGTATGGTAGTAACACAGAAGAAATTAACACTGGTAGATTATCTCAGAGATTTTGAAAAGTGACATTCCGAACGTAACATGCGTGTAAAAATATGCAGAATATCACGCCAATTGCAAATGTGGTTTGATAATAATTTCAGACCTAAGGTTCCCTAAAGAAAAATAATCTCGGTTCATTTGAGGAAATAATATCGTAGAAATTTAATCAAATTTCTTTTCTTTTTTTTCACATGAAATATTTTGTTTTCGCAAAACACTGGCCAAGCATATCCTAAAATAAAACAGCCGGCAATGAAAGTGATACACACAGGTAACTTATCAATGTGGACTATGAGACGGGAGGTACATTAATTGCTTAAACAGTCTCATATACCTCATTGATATTACCAATACCAATATTAATTCGGATACCATAATTTGCAAAATAATGGAAAGAAAATTTTATACATTTAAGAAGTAATGTTACATGAATCTACAAATAAATTACATACATTTTTCGCACGTTATCGTTAAAATATTTTCAGATTTCGAAGTGTGACAAGGGAACAGATTATTTCAATGTTTTCTGGCGGTCCTTTCCGCTGGTTCCGCGAGGACAAGATTGCTACTATTTGTTTTGAAGAACTAATTCAACAACATAATTATGACTATTATAGATCAGGGACAAAGGAGCTAAGATAATAACCCTTGGTTAATACAATCAGCCGTGTTAAACGTTACGTCGTTACACTGCCAGACTTCAAAGCAATTCAATCGATCCCAATCAGCCCGGAGAGCCAACGCAACCGTTCGCTCTGCACACAAGAGCGTGGCGCGTGTTGCTTACACGCCAGGCGCAGCTAGTCTGGTGGTGAAGGAGCTAATGGCCTTCTCCAGAACACGACCGCGTAATGGGATGACCCACACAGTGGAATGAATAGGACGCCAGGTACTCTGGAATCGATTCGACGTAATGACACAGGAGAACACGAGGCACGTGACGTCAAGATAATACGACTTGGGGTGGTATCACAAAATACTTTTATGGACTAAAGAATCAGGGATGTTAACTAAATGACAGGAGCAGATCTACTATACAAACCTCTCTGTGGGCTGAAGTGGACCATCTGCACATGAAAAAAACTAAATACTGATTTATTTAGAATTCTCGGCTATGCGTAATGTAGACTACATTGATTGAATACTGAAATTAATCATGGACTGGTTTCTTCCATTAAGTGCGGCTCCAAACAATCTCTTCAGAGGCTGATTTTAATTTCGTTTGCTGTCTTTGTATTACAACTTACAGTTTAACTCCAGACTTATTTTAAAAATAAGTGATTTTCAATTTATATTTCATGCTGAAATTAAAAATCTTCTAAATCAAAAACTAAATCTAATGTTTTAATAAAACTGCGTGACATCGTACATTGTTAAATCTATAATTACATCGGCAAGTGATTTTCCAAATTCTTTATATGACAAAATACTGTGGGTTCGTCGACATTTTCTTTTAACAATCAAATAAATAATCAGTTTGAGTACACATCGAAACAGAGTTGAACGTGTATAGCTAAAGAAACACTTATATTGAAATCTTTCATTAAAGAAGTCATAGCGCTAGTCTGTACTTTTTTATTTCAATTATATTGTTATATATTTATTGATTCAAATTAATCGACCTACAAAAACAAATTGCAACCAAAGAAAAGAACGAGAAAATCGTAAGACAATGTACAAAATAAGGTGGTTTTTGGAGGTACTACAAAGTTTCAATACATGATTAATAGTTATTTATGCATTAAGGGGGGTTACAAGGGCTCTGACGATCGAGCGACGACAAAAAGCGCTCGGGACAAAGCCCCTCAGGCTTTTGTCGCCGTTCGATCACCAGAACCAGTTAACGCTCATTGTACATGCAGGTTTTTCATGTTTTACATAATTGTAATGGTTCAGATTTTCTTATTTACTAATTACTTAAATGTTATCTAGACTTTGCTTGTTTTTTCATATATTCCCTCCATAAGAGAACGTGTAAAACCATTCAAGTGTTTTCATATTTTCCTCGTAAGCACGATCCTCTCGGTAAGTTATTCAGTGAGTATCGAGCTCCGCTCGACGGCAATAACATGTTATAAAAGACAAACTGATTTGTACGTGGTTCAATTGGCATTGAACTGCCAAACGTTTCGCCCACGACTGCGGTGGGCATCCTCAGTGGCGAGGTCTCGGGTGAAGTGTCCGCGACGGTGGCTGACTGGCGACTAAGGGCGCGTTGAATACATGAAGAATATATAAACTGATTTGTGGCTAGGCGTGTACTCACCAGGGGTCGACGCAGAAGGCGGGCGCGGCGGAGGAGACGACGGCGTAGCTGCAGAAGAGCACGGCCATGTGCTGGTGGTTGCGCGGGTCGAGCGCGTCGGGCGGCGGGGGCGGGGGTTGCGGGGGCGGGCGCGGGGCGGGGGGCGGGGCGTCGCGCGGGGGCAGTCGGGCGGGGCGCCGTGGGCGCAGGGGCGTGGGGCGTGGGGTTGGGGCGGCGCGTTGGCGCGGGGCGGCGCGGGGCCCGGGGCGCGCGTCGGGCAGGGCGGGGCAGCGGCAGGCGGCGCGCGCGCGGAGTGGCGCCCAGCAGCGCGCTGCACCTGCGGCTGCCGCGGCGCTGGTGAGGCGCGTGCGCACGAGACGGGTGCTCCGGCGCGCAGCTGAAAACGCGCGCGGTCAGAGCGACGGCGCCGCGCTCGAGGCGGTAGCTGCTTGGTTACCGAGAGGCGCCGGGTCTAGGCACAGGTGCCATAGCTTCGGCGCATTCCTGCGACCTTCCTAGGGCGAAATTGCTCCTGTGCCTAGGTCGGCTTCCCTGGTCGCCTAAGCAATCTACCAGCGCACATGCGGCCAGCCATTATTCTTACGGTAATTAATTAATTATTCACACACTTCAATTCTGTTACTCATCATTATTGCTATTAACGTACCCATTCACCAGAGAGTGAAATATTAATACATTGATCCGTTTCACGACAGCCAATCAACCAGAGAGTCAATGATCAGTCAATTGATAAGTTAGATGGGTAAATCAATATGTGGGAGAGGAAGGTTCTATCAAAAGACAGATCTAATCATTACTTTTTTTCGTGTGGCTGGTGAGAAATGGCAAGTGTTTCGATATCAGACTAGCTTAAAGCATTTGTCGGTTTCTCGAGAATTGTAATGGTTAGTTTTCGTTCGAATCAGGTAATAGAAAATATGATGTCGTTCTCAAGACATGACTATAGATCAAAATTGAACATCAATGATCAACAGCGAAGGGAAATAATAAAGTAACGCAAATGGTCAGGGCGAATACGAGATATAGAATAAACTTTTCATAAGCTTTGACGAAAGTCCGGAATAGATAGGCATTTGCACTGAGACGCTTTCGAATAGAATTTGGACAAGAGGGTGCAAGTGGCTACATCGTTATTATTTGTTTTTGTGAAGTATGATTGGATTACTCTTGATTGTGATGATTCAAGTGTG